TGATGTATTGATACAGTGGTATACTAAAAACCTGTTACATACGAGAACATGGCCCATGACTTAGATTATCTAGATAATTTTTACTTTGACGTATATAGGATATACATTTTTATCATGTTAAATTTTTATTAYATCATTAAATGATGAAAATAATGGTTTTTTTTTTAAGCAACCTAAACAAAATATCTTATTTAAATTTATAAGTCATAGATATTGTTTTTAATTTATATTGTTAATGTTTAAGTTAAAATATTGCTTTATGTACCTATAAAAATATTTTGTAAATTCACTTTACATAAATAATATTTATGTAATAGACTTTCTAAAAACTCTATTTAATGTTTAAAATATAGAAGAATTTCAAATTCAATAAATAATACTAAGTTGTTGAAATTAGCTTATTAAATCTTTTTTTTATAAATCAAAATACAACGTTATTGGATAAATTACTAGATTGTGATTTCAAAAAATATTTAAAATTCTTAAAATTAAAACTAATTAATTTTATATCAGATTTTAAAAAGTACTAAATTATTTAGATGAAGCCCATAAAGGTATAACCTGTAGGAACTAACGTGGAATGGAATAGAATGTCTAAAGTTTCGACTAATAATGATGTATTTATGGTTCAAACAAATTGTTATAAAGTTTTCRAATGAATTCTATAATATTAGTTTGAAGTTCAAATTACATTATATTATCTTCTTTGGAATTAAAAATAATGAGCTTATTTGATTTCCTTACACTGTAGTTTTATATGTATAGTAATAACCATAAATTGTAATAGACTTTACAAAGAATAGATTTTTCTATATCTTAATTTATTTTTTTTAACTATGTGCTATATGACTGGTATAACCTTTTGTACATACCTTTTTATTATACACGCATACATAAAATATTGTGAATTTATTTTTTGTTACATTTGTGCATAAAAGAAACAAAGTAAATATCTCTCTGATTTACAATAGGTGTCAAGTGTACCTACTATCATTAAATATGTCACTGTAATGGATGTTTTAAATTTGAATTCAATAATAAATCAWTGTATATTAATATACTAAAAAGATTCTAAGCGAAGACGGTTTGTCACGTCTCTATTTCTCAAGATATTGTATCAAATATTTATATTGCAATAATGGCATTTATTTTTCTATTAGTAATGATATTGTTTCATACTGTCAGCAGATTTTAAACTGCGTTGTCCAAGATGAATTAAATACTTAAATACAATTTATATAAATTGTATCATTAGTTCTTTAATGYTTTGACAGTTGGTATTATTATCTTAGTTAGTCTTATTGTATTTATTTTCTTGTATAGGTACTGTCATACAATATTTTAAAGCACTATATTTAATACATACCTCAGCCGCAATGTACGCTGGTATGACGCTAAGCAGTAGTTGTTCTTGCTGTTCTTTTTCACACTCCAGCTTAATTCTGGATTCAATACATGTTCTAGTTCCCGAAAACATTATTCTGTTGGCTTTGTGTGTCATAAACTTATAATACCAACCAGTGGAACTAGCTGAGAATAGTAGTATTATTTCAGCGATCATCTAAAAAAAAATCCAGTTTCATATCGTTGTTATTAAAATTTTTTTTTTTTATTATTAAAATTATATAGGTATATAAATTATAACTTTAATATTTTGATTGAAATAACATTTTCAATTTATTATTATACAATATGTAAAAATAACGTTCTAAAGTAAATTTCAAAACGAAATAAACACCTTCTAATAATTGTGTTATAAAAATGAAATAGGTACAAACACAGATTCCCATTATGTCATAAAATTTTAACTTTTCGTTGTTTCATAATATTATTAATAATAATTTGAAGAAGATTTCAATATTTTGTTTTAAACAATGCATAATGTAGTATACTTTCCATCCAATTTCATAGTGCATAATTATTTCTTAAGTATAATATTATCTACTATAAAAAAAAAAAAAAAATAATATGTAGGTATATAAAAATATATGTATAATATATACATATATGTATATATATTATAGTAGGTACACATTATAATGTATAAGTATAAACATAATATATTCGATTGTCAATAATTTCAAACATGGGTGCTCAAAATATGCATTCATCTAATTTGAAATTTTTATGTTTTGTTAATTTGAAATTATTACAAAAGATTTAGTTCAGTATAATAAACTTAAAAAAATACAAACGTTTTTAAATAATAAACATTATTTACAATTCAAATCCACTTTAAACATGTGTTAAGATCCCATCTACCGTCATTCAAATTATTTAAAGTATTTCTGTACCTATACATGTATTGTATTAAACTTCGAACATACAATGTTCAGCTTCCAGTTTCTCTGGTTTAGTTGTTTCCTATCGCTCAAGGCTTAAGGCTTTTCAAAAGGGGGTAAATACAAGAAATGTTAATGATAATACAAACACTACTAGAGGAGTAAACTTAGTTCGAGTACGTAGAAGACAGAGCTCTAAACATGGCTATTTTAAAATATCCAAAACTTTTGACAGTCAAGAAAATTATGAAGTATTGCTCGAGTAGTTACGAATAATTTGTAGACAGATTTCTTTTTCTATAAATTTTGGATAAGTAACAACAAAATTTATAAAAATAACAAAATAATAATAAAATATACATATAAAAAGTTAATCATTAAATATCATATCGTTATTGAATATAATATAATATGTGATTTAATCTGTGTAGAATAAATCATATTAAAATGTGATATATTATACATATTACTTTCATGTAGAAAAAAATAAAGTACATATAT